GGTGTGTCTGTGTGTGTGAGAGAGAGAGAGAGAGAGAAAGGCACTGTGTGTGTGTGTTTTCCCCACTGAGATCCAGCTGCAGAAGAGGATTGGGGCCGTATTGCCTCCTCCTCCTCCTCGGTGCACCTCTCAGCTCCAGAGCTTTTTAGATGAGACAGATTATCTAGATCTATTAATCTGGCTTCAGGCCTGGTTATGGGACAGAGACCGCTTTGGTAGATGATCTGCGTCAGGAACTGGATAGGAGAGCTGTGCCCCTGTTGGCTTTGTTGGCCCTTTCAGTGGCGTTTGATACTATCAGCCACAGTATCCTCCTGACCCTTACCTCTGGAATTGGACTTGGGGACACTTTTTTATGGTGGCTTCAGTCCTTTCTGGAGGAGAGAACTCAGAAGTTGGCCCTTTCAGTGGCGTTTGATACTATCAGCCACAGTATCCTCCTGACCCTTACCTCTGGAATTGGACTTGGGGACACTTTTTTATGGTGGCTTCAGTCCTTTCTGGAGGAGAGAACTCAGAAGGCGATGCTGGGGGATTCATGTTCAAAACCCTGACCACTGGCCTGTGGGGTCCCTCAGGGTTCTGTTGTGTCTCCAATGTTATTCAACATCTACATGAAACCACTGGGAGAGATCATCCGGAGTTTTGAGGTCCGGTGTCACCATTATGTGGACAATACCCACCTCTACCTCTCTTTGCCATCTAAATCCAAAGAAGCTGCTTCAGCTCTAGATCAGTGTTTGGTGCAGTAATGGATTGGATGAGGGTGAATAAATTGCAACTTAATCCAGATAAGACAGATGTGCTCCTGGTCAGTTGAAAGGCAGATCAAGGAATAGGAATGCAGGCAGTACTGGATGGGATTACACTTCCATTGAAAAATCAGGTACACAGCTTGTGGGTGCTCCTAGATTCATTGCTGACCCTGGATGCCCAGGTCTCGTTGATGGCCAGGAGTGCATTTGCACAATTAAAACTAGTATATTAGCCACATCTGTTTCTTGAAATACCTGATTTGGTTGCTGTGACACATGCCCTAGTTACTTCCCAGCTGGATTACTGTAATATGGGACTGCTGATGGATAGAGTCAGGGAACTTCAGCAGGTCAAAAATGCAGAAGCCGTATTGCTGACTGGGGCTGGTTAGAGGAATCACATAACCCTGCTGTTACAGCAGCTCCCCTGGCTGATGATCAGCTTCTAGGCTGGTTTTAACCTATATAAAGTGCTGGTTCTAACCTATAAAGTCGTAAGTGGCCTGGGTGCAAGCTATCTCAGAGAATATGAACTGGCTTGGGTGTTAAAATAGTCAAGGGAGACTTTTCTCTTGTTCTGCCACCTTCACAGCTGATTCTGATGGGGAGAGGGCCTTCTCTGTGGCTACTCCCAGATTCTGGAACTCCTGCCCACAGGAGGCCAGGCTGTTATGCATTACTGCTTTGACTGGATTTTTAGTACTATTTGTGTTTTCCATTTCTGTATTTTCCATTTCTCAGAGTGGCATTTTTTTTAGAAAATGTATACTTCTTGTTCTTAGCTCTAATATTGTCTTTGAATGATGTACAATACCTTTTGCTCATTGTTCTTAGCTATAAATATTTTTATTGATGTTAACCACTTGTATACTCATTTTTCCCCAACTTAAAATATTGTCTTTCATTGTTGTAAGCCACCTTGGGTCCTTCTCAAGGAGAAGGGTGGGTGTAAGTAAGTAAGTAAATCTTCAGGTGTGACTCTGTAAACAGCATAATGCAGAGTTAAGACCCTTGGGGTATAAACTTGTTGCACAAGATGACTCTTTTCAATGGATCTACTAAGCTAGAGAGCAACTAGGTCCTGCTTGAATTGTTCAAAACAAGACGATGTCTCCTCCCATTCTAACTTGTCTGCACCTATCATGTATGTGCCTGTACTCTCCCCCAGTTCTGGGTTATTCTGTACCTTCTTCAATGCCGTTCTTTGTGATAGCTGAGATACTGAGATTTACAGAGAATGTGGACATCTGATAGTACCTGCAATTGGACAGACGCTTGAAACTATGCAGGCATGCAACCACAAAGTTCCTCTCCTTTCTCTCGCTGTCCCTCCTTCCCTTCCTCCTGTCTACCTCTTTCTCTTTCTTTCTGGTCTCTCTTGGCTGCTGAGAAAAGTAGGTGGGCATCTGCTCAACCTTGTACAGAGAGGAGGTTGTTATACCACTTTGTGTTTAAAAAGGAAAACAGTCACTGCGAAGGAAGCAGCTTTTCCTCTTCTGGAAGTAGGTTAAAGTTCATCTATCCAGTAGTGCTTGTCATATTTGTCTTGTTTGGACTAAGCTGCTCTTTTCCCTTTGACTGGGAGAGGAATTTTCAGCCTTTCTTCCCCTGCCTCTTTTTCTGAATGACTGCCTCTGCAAGAGGGAAGGACTCAGCTCTTTGCTTTGGGCTATTCTCGCATCGGAACAGCGGACAAAGAGGAACAGATGAAGAAAGTAGAAAGAAAGTAAGAAATCTTCTAAGAGGGATTGCAAGAGGATCTCTCATCTCTTTTTTTTGGGCTAAAATGTGTTTGTTGAGGAATCGGATGCTAATACATCTGTTTGTGAACCTAGTATAAGGGGATCAGTATCTTAAGTAGAATACATTTATGTGTTTGTGAAAGAGAAAGGGAGAGGGAGGGAGAGAGAGAGAGACATTTCTGATTTAATCCTCAAAGAAAAACTGAAGCACTAGGTTGTGAGAAATGCTGGAATAATTTAATTGGGAGAAAAGTAGGGCTGTTCTTTACACAGCCCACTGCTGCAATAATAGCATGCCTAGTCTGTTTTTGCACATCAGACATGCTGAAGGACAGGCTTTCTTTTGCCTTTGGCCTTCCTTTTTTTCTTTCTTTCAGCAGATGTGAATCTGGATTGCCTAATTTGCTGATTGCAGTGTAGAGAGATGCAGAGTTAAAATAGGAATTCAAATAAGGAGGCAAATGAATGTTGCAACACTGTTATTCTGGCTACTGCTTCTGCTTCTTTCTTTCTTTTTAAATACAGTACATCCTGTGTTTTGTGAATCAGAACAGTTTTGGCTGGAACCAGAAACATTGTCTCAAAATTCAGGTTCTTCTAGTATCCACATTTGTGGAGCCAGTATCCTATGTCTGTGGAACAGACTTGCAAAATACAGCTGTGATCTCTGCTGGGAGGTTTTTATGAATGGAATACTTCCAATTGGAGTCTGGGACTAAAGCCTCACAATGGTCACTTCACACTCAAAATGGACTTGATCTATGTGTAGTAATGCACTTAGGATGCACTTAGAAAGCCAGCTGTATGGCTTTAATGACATGACTTGGGTGTCAAGCTAAGAAAAACCTGCTGCTTTTTCCAGTCTCTACCTGGAATTTATGATCTGGCAAGACAGGAGGTGGGGAGAGATGACATTTGTGCTTCAGCTGAGAATCTTATTTAAAATTACGAATATATTTTGTTTAGAACACACAACAAAATCTGAAAGCTGGTTTAAGAAAGATAATGTTAAAGTGCC